GATACTCAAAGATACCATTTATCAGGTTGAGGAAGTTTTTGTTCTTAGTTTGCTGAGAATTTTTATCGTGAATGGGTATTGAATTCTGTCAAAAATTTTATTGCCTTTACTGAGATGATATGTTTTCTTTTCTCCATTATTCAGTTAATACAATGAATTACATAGATTTGTTTTTGAGTGTTGCATCAACCTTGCGTCCCTGAGATAAATCCCACTTGGTTGTGGGGGTTTGGATTTGTTGGATTTGATGTGTTAATATTTTGCTAAGGATTTTTACATGTTGATGAGGGATATTCATGTTCAGTTAACTTATTATGTCATTATTTAGTGGTGGTATCACGGCAGCACAGCCTATATAACATGAAACTTTCTGGAAGAGCTTGTGTATGGACTTGGTATTATTTTTTCCATAAGTGTTTGATAGAATTCAACAATGAAGGCTTCTGAGCCTGGAATTTTCTTTGTGGTGAGGGTTGTAGGTATGAGTTAAATTTCTTTTATATGGGATTATTCTGACTTTCTGTTCTTCCTTGAGTCAATTTTGGTAGTTGTGGCTTTCAAGGAATTTTCCATTTTGTCCAAGTTGTTGAATTAACCAGCATAAGGTCTTTCATTAAATAATACGTGATTCATTTTGAATCTGTAAGGCATAGAGAGTTAGAATCTGTAGGATTTCCTCTATTTCTGATATTGGTCATTTTTTTCTTAATGTAGCTACAGGTTTACCTGTTCAAAAACACAGATTTGGGCTTTGGCCGGTGTGGCTCTGTTGGAGCATCATCTGAATGCCAGAGGGTGTCAGGTTCTGTGCCTGGTCAGGGCGCACACCTGGGCTGCGGGTGGATCCCTCGGGGGAGCACCTTTGGAAGGCAACCAGTCCCTGTTCTCTCTCGAGTTGGCGTCTCTCTCCCCTCCCCCCTCCTGAAATCAATAAGCATGTCCTTGGTGAGGATTAAAAACATGGTTCAAACGGACAAACAAAACAACAGATTTGTGCTTCATCATTTTTTTTTCACATCTCTATTATTTAAATAGAGTATAAAATTACATTAAATTTAATGTGTTTCATTTGTTTATACTTTTTTCCACATTTTTGTTTTTTAATCCTCACCCGATGATATTTTTCCATTGCTTTTTCACAGAGAGGGGAAGAGAGAGAGAGAGAGAGAGAGAGAGAGAGAGAGAGAGAGAGATTGATTGACGTGAGAGAGACAGGGATTGGTTGCCTCCCACAGGGGCCGAGGATGGAGCCCTTGGCTGGAATCGAACCCGGGACCCTTTTGTCCGTGGGCCAACGCTCTCACCACTGAGCAAAACTAGCTAGGGCTTTTCTGAAACTTTTTTTTTAAAATATGTCTTTATTGATAGAGTGAGGAAGGGAGAGAGAGAGAAACATCAATGATGAGAGAGTCATTGATCAGCTGCCTCCTGCACTCTGCCAACTAGGGATCGAGCCAGCAACCTGGGCATGTGCCCTGATCAGGAATCAAACCCTGATCTCCTGGACCATAGGTTGGTACTCAACTGCTGAGCCGTGCCTGTAGGGCTTTTCTGCACATTTTTGAGCTTAATTTTCTCTCTTTTTCCCCCTGTCATCCTAAGGTGGAAGTTTAGACCACTGATTTTGGATTTTTTCTCCTAATGTAAACACTTAAATTAGCTATAAATTTCCCACTAAGCACTGCTTTGCCTACAGATTTCCCGCAGATTTTTCATTTTCATTTACTTAAAAATATTGAAAATTTTTCTCTGATTTCTGTTTTAGCCCTTGGGTTATATAGAAGTGTTGTTAAATTTTGAAGTATTTACATTTTTTCTAGATAATTATCTATTCTTGATTTATAGTTTAAGTTCATTGTGGTCAAAGGATATGTATTATTTCAGTAGTTTTAAATGTTGAGATGTGTTTTATGCCCAGCATATAGTCTGTCTTAGTGAATGTTCCATGTATACATAAAAAAAAAAAAAGTGTGCTATTGTAGATTGTTTTAGGTCAGATTGTTTGATAGTGTTGTTCAGGTCTTCTGTACCCTTGTTGATTTCTTTCTACTTGGTCTCTGTCAGTTACTGAGAGATGACCCTTGAAGTCCAACTATAATTGTGGATTTGTCTTTTTAGTTCTATCACATTTCGCTGCATTTATTTCAAAGCTCTCTTACTGAGTGTGTACACAGATTTGTTATGTCCTTTTGAAGAATTAGGAACTTTTTATTATGAAATAAATGCCCCTCTTTGTGTTGAAGCCTGTTCTGCCTGTTACTAATGTAGCCACTCCAGCTTGGTATATTTTCACTTTCTTTTACTTCTAAACCATCTTGTAAAGTGGTTTTAAAGTGGGTTTCTTGTAAGCAGCATATAGTTGGGTCTTGCTTTTTTAAAAATCTAGTTTGACAGTCTGTTCCTTTTCATTGGAATTTAAAATGATTTACATGTCATATATGTAAACATATGGTTGAATTTAAATCTACTGTTTTGATACTTGTTTTCTATTTGTCTCATTTGTCTTTTGTTCCCTTTCTCTCTTCCTACTTCCTTTTATATTAACTCAGTTTACTTTAGGATTCCATTTTATTTCCACTATTGGCTTTTTAGCTATATCTGTATTATTTTAGTTATTACTCTAGGGTTTATAATATGTCTTTAACTTGCTACAACCTACCTTCAAATGACATTGTACCTACCTCACATATAATGTAAGAATCTTTCAAAACTATACTTCCATGTCCTCTCTTGTGTCCTTCGTTTATTTTGTCTTATTATTTTTAAATTTATTTTAAATATCTCTTTATTGATTTCAGAGAGAGGAAAGGAGAGGGAGAGAGAGAGAGAAACATCAATGATGAGAGAGTCATTGATCGCTGCCTAGCCCACCACCTGGGCATGTGCCTCAACCCGGGAACCGAACCTCGATCGCCTGGATCTGGATCCTAGGTCGACGCTCAACCCCTGAGCCACGCCTGGCTGGGCTATTTTGTCTTATTTTTTACTTAAGTACAATACACTTTCGTTGTTTTGCTTTCAGTGATTTGCTGTTTTTTAAAGATAACATGAGAAGTNTATTTTGTCTTATTTTTTACTTAAGTACAATACACTTTTGTTGTTTTGCTTTCAGTGATTTGCTGTTTTTTAAAGATAACATGAGAAGTTTTTTTTTTATATATAGCCATATAATATTTCCAGTGACCTTCATTTATGTGGTAGATCCAGATTTCCATCTGCTTATCTTTTTCCTTCTGTTTAAAGAACTTCCTTTAATATAGCTTATAGTGAATATCTCTTGGCAACAGATTCCCTCAAATTTTGTTTGCCTGGAAAAGTGTTTATTTCATAGTTATTTTTGAAAGTATGTTTCCCGTGACTTATAGAATTCTAGGTCAACAGTTTTTTTTAGTACTCATTCGGTTGTTTTCTGGCTTGCGTAGCTTCTGATAAGTATTGGGAAATTTGTATCTTTGTTCTTCATAATTTGCCTGTTTTCTCTGGCTGCTTTTAAAATTTTTCTCTTAACCACTGATTTTCAGCTATTTATATGACATGTCTAGGCATAGTGTTCTTTATGTTTATCCTGCTTATGAGTCATTGAATTTCTTGGTGTTTTCATTGAATTTGGAAAAAGTTTTGCCCGTTATTTTTTCAAATATTATTTCTCCTCTCTCCTCCTCAATTTTGGGATTCAGTTATATATGTTAGACCATGATATTGTCACTGAGACTTCATTTATTTTTCCCCTCAGCCTTTTACTATATATCTTCAGGTTTCACTAATCTTTTTTCCCCCTACACTATCTAATGTGTTAATTACAGCCTCTGAATTTTTTGAGCCTTGTTTTTTTATCTCTAGAATTTTCATTTGGGTTTAAAAAATATATTCCATTTTCTTTTGTTATGTTCATGCTTTCGTTTAAATATTTGGACATATAATAGCTTTTTAATGTCTTTGTTAATTCTGTAAGCTATCATTTTGGAGCTTGTTTTTATTGACTGATTTGGTCTTGATTATGATCATATTTTCTACCTTCTTGCCTGTCTGATAATTATCGAGTGCATGCTGAACATTGTGAATGTTATATTGTTTATTATCTAAAAATGTTTTTTGTTTTCCTTTAATGAGTATAAGGTTTTGTTCTGGTAGGCAGTTAAGTAACTTGTGATTAGTTTGATCATTTGAGGATTGCTTTTAGTTTGTTAGGGCAGGTTTAGAGTAGCTTTTACTCTAAGAATAGTCTGTCGTACTAGTAAGGCATGGTCCTTCTGGGATTTCTACTGAATGCCTTTAATGATCAACAAGGACTCTTCACTCCAGCTAGTGAGAAATTAAATGATTTGCAGCCTTGTGTGAACTCTGGAACTATTCAGCTCATGGCTCCCTAGTTGGTCCTTGTCTAACTCTGTGGGATTTCACACTATGCATGTGCATCTTAGTATTTAACAAAGCATCAAGGGGACCCCTGCACATTTCTAGAGCTCTTTTTCTGCATGGTAGTTTTCTCTCTGTGTCTCTCACTCATTTGAAAAATATTTCCCCCTTACTCTTTGCAATTCTATCCCAGAACTCCCATCTACCTCAGCATCCTTAAATTTCAGTTTGCCTCCTCAAGTTTTTAACTCAGCTAGACTGCCTCTTGGAATCTGCTCTCTGCTCTTTGGTTTGCATTGTCTCTAGGCAGAAAGCTGGGGTAGTCCTAGGGTTCACCTGGTTAGTTAGCTTTCTCACTGGGATCATATACCTGTGCTGCCTGGCTGTTCAGTGTTTGAAAATGTTTATTTAATATATTTTGTCCAGTTTTTGGTTGTTTAAGAGAGTAAGTTCAGTGTTTGTTTCTCTGTCATGGCCAGAAGTGTGTAAAATTTTAAATATATTTTTATGACCTATTGTTTGTGCATGTTTTATTATCCTTTTGTCATCAATACTTTTTCTTTTAGAATATATTCTCAAATGACTTCACAGTTCAACCGCAATTATTTTAATGAGCAAAACTTTTATAAAATACAAATTTATTGCTTAGTATACCATTGGTTCCTTTCAAGTTTTATATGGCTGTTTTTAGCATAAAGTAAGATTCAGACCCTCTACACCACTGTATGGCTTAAAGGGTCCAAGTTATATAGTTGAGCAGCATTCATATCAGTGTCAACTATAAATAAGTCTTTTTCTTCCTGGTCTGTGACAGTTGAGTTTTAAGAGAATATTTTGGTTCGTAGACTTAGCTTTGCACACAAATTATGTTGGATTCTCAGAAGACCAAACCAACATGTAGCTTTTATTTCTGTAGGATTGTTTTGCTCGTTGTTTGAGTATGTTAGGCTTTTCGGACTAAATAAGGAATGTTAAGTGTTTAAATAAGTAAAAACAAATGATCAGAGCTCCCCTATCCCCCTGTGTTTCTAGGTAACTCTAAGTACCCAATTTTGCAGCCATGGAGTCCATGCTTAATAAGTTGAAGAGTACTGTTACAAAAGTAACAGCTGATGTCACTAGTGCTGTAATGGGAAATCCTGTCACTAGAGAATTCGATGTTGGTCGACACATTGCCAGTGGTGGCAATGGGCTAGCTTGGAAGATATTTAATGGCACAAAAAAGTCAACAAAACAGGTAAGTTTTAATTGAGTGCAGTTGGAAAAAACACACATGCTACTAAGTATCATAATGTGCATTTATGCATTTTTATGATAAGAAATGCCAAAAATGATGGGTTCTTTCTCATTTTGTGTAATGAAGTCATACAAAACCAAATGCTTTTAAACATGCTCTGAATCTCCTGGTTATAAATATATTTTTTGATATATCATCATATTTTATAATTTAATTTTGCCTACGTAATAAACATATCAGCTGAGCAAATGAGTATGTAGTATTAGATTTTAATATTTAGCAAAGTGTATGTTTTAGAATAAAAATTGTCGTGTTCCTTTTCATATTTGTCGTCAAGGTAATGGTAAAATACCCAGTTAAAATTTTCCACCATTAAATGCATTCATATTTAGTGCATTGTTTTTCCCTCTTTAATTCTATAGCCTTCTAGGAAATAGATTCCTGTAATATTTTTTAGTGTTTAACCTGACCGTTTTTACCATCAGATTTCATACCTAGTATTAATAGTTAAAAATAAATAAGGGTATATCTTGTTATCTCTTAAGTCTTCTCACAACCACCTTATTGTTAACTTAATCTAAATAAAAATGTAGATTTTATTTTCTCCTTTTGAGAAAGGAACATTGGCCTCAAATCACATGGAAAACAAAGAGCATGATACTTGGCAGTCACCCCTGGTCAGTCATGAAAGGCCCATAAAATAGAGATCTCAGGGAACGACTGTGTTTCAAAAACCATCTCATAGGTTAGTGGAGGTCATGATTGTTGTTAGGGAATCCTAGGCATATTGGTATATGTTAACTTAGAGTTTATTGCTTAAACTGTCTTGTTTTCAGCAAGTGTTCAACTTTGCAGTAAGCAAAGTAGCTTTTAAAAATTATAAATTAGGCCTATATCAAAATATATATCCAGTCTCCATTTTGGGAAATATTAGTTTTTAGAATAAATCATTTATTTCATAGCCTTTGTTGTTTAAAAATAGGGTATTGAGAAAAAATACTCTTTAGTGGGTAACATTTATTAATAATGTATTTTAAAGACTATGAAGTGAATAAATGGAGAGTAGAGTGCCAAATATGGCTTACATTTTGTTTTAGTAATTTTTGTGTAAAAAAGAATCTCAGTTTTTATTTAGAATTAACAGTTGTTGAATCTTAAGTGGAAGATGTATTGGATGATTGCACTACATTATCTTTTTGGTATGTTTGAAAATTTTCATAATGAAAAGTTGAAAAGGCTTTTAATTCAAGATGATAATTAAAAGCTTCTAGTAATTGCCTATCTTTACTGACTACCTGTAGGCAATAAACATCAGAGTGTCTTCTAGGTATAGATCCTGTGGTGGATACAGAGACACTTAAGGCATGGTTTCTTTCTCCAAGAAACTTGTCATACATATAAGGTGGCAGGAGTTTTACACAAGTGATGTGATATGTGTTAGCAGAGTGGTTAGTATAGTGAAGTACTAGAAGGCAAACAAAAATTAGAAATTAGATGATAGTCTATTCTGATGAAAGGTTTTGAGGTGCAGGCTAAGAGTTTTCTCTTAGGATGTAGGTATGAGGCCCAAAGAGTTAGTTAATTAGTAACAGCTTTGTTGAAATTGGTTTATTTTAATGAACTGATTGGAACAAAGAAAATATTTTTAAGGTAGTTGATAACCTGTTCTGACCTATGTAGGCATCTTTCATCTTTGACCTAAAACAAATGTCTGAGAGAGAATTTTGTGTTGTTTCTTCATCTTTGTGAACTATAGTGTTCCTCCTTAAGATTTGTGAAACTGTGAAACTCATGAGCCATTTCATATGATCTTTTTTTAAGGACTTAACACATTTTGAAAAAACACACATTTAAATTAGATGCATTTATAAAATGTGTTGTAGCAGAACACTTACTAAAATAAGATTGTGCACATGAATAGTGAGATAGAAACATGAACTTCTAGGTCATTTGTTTCTAGTTCAAATGAATAGTACATAATGCTCTTAGCTCCTGAATGTCCTGTGTCTCATAATGATCAAAAGAAATAAGATCATGTATTTATATATGAGTGTTATTTAAAGCTCTCACTCAAATGATTGTTGTCCTGAAGGCATGTGTCATGTTTTACTGGGGTGCTCTATGTATATTGGCCATGTGTTGTTTCTGGGGTGACAGAGTGGTGTATTGGATGGGAACGTGGACCCTAGGGTTAGACTGACTACGTGTGAATCTTCATTCTTCATGTTACCAGCTTCGAAGTCTTCAATAATGCATTCATCTTCTTCACAGTGCCCTCATCTGTGACTTGAGGATAATAACGTGTCTCATAGGGTTGCTAGGAGGAATGTAGTAATTCCTAAAAAGTACACAGATGCTTGGAATGGGATGTTAAAATTCAGTAACTAAATATAAATAGTCCCTTTATATTACCACTTTCAGAGACTCAGTTCTCTAATATCCATAACTCATTTGTACATATGTAAGGAGTCTCCAACTTAAAACAAGTTGTATTTGAGAAATTTACTGGTTTGGAATTCTGCAGTGAATCTCTGTTATGTGATTAGGTTGCTAAGTTAACTTGTGAAAGCAATAATGATAATGTGGCAAAAATAATCAGAAGAGAATAACAATAAAGTGGAAATATACTGTCTTGCATATTGAAGTTTAGTAGTAGTAGATTTAATTAGAAATTTTTGAAAGAGACTTTTATAGAAATTCTGGAAGGGCCATTCTGGGGGAAGGTGGAGAAGGGTGTAGGGAGATAAATGGTGATAGACAGAGACTTGATTTGGGGTGGTGAACACACAGTACAGTATACAGATGATGTGTTGTAGCGTTGCGCACCTGAAACCTGTATAATTTTGTTAACTAGTGTCAACCCTAGTAAATTCTATAAAAATGGACAAAAATCTTTCAAAGAATTTTGAAAGGCTAGTATTGATTCTTGCTCATTTTTGCTTCCAGCTCTATTGGTTTTATGATGGAGATCTAGCAGTGGTAATATATCAGCTATCAATATGGCTATTTTTTGACTGATTTGTTAAGATTGGGCAACTGGATGATAACTAGTTTTCCTTGGGTAGTGGAGAGAATGAAGGCAAGACGACAGTTAAGGAAGAGGTGTGATTTTAGTTGTATAAAATAAGCTGTGAATGATCTCAAAGAGAGGTGGTAAGAGAGCATCGTCCTGTACTGGTAACCATTCCCATTTCTACCCATAACAAGATGGGGATGGGAGGAAGGAGAGAGAGAAATTATAGGTTATTCATATGTAAAAGGTGCTTGGAAATTGTTTTGTATAAACAGTTACTCCCAGACATGTACAGTCTTTCTTTCAAAAAGCATTTCAAAATTTTGTAGTATATTCCAGGGTTTGAATAGCATTTTGAATAGCGTTTTGAATTTTTAAACATTTTAACTTTTATTTGAATTCTGGTTATATAAGAGACTACTAAACAGGGGACGACACATTACACAGTTTATATATACCTCTGATACCAGATTCATACGTGGAGATTTTCCTATGTTCTTCTTAGATGCTCTGGGTCTCATACCTTTAAAAATATTCAGATTTACTAATCATAAAGAAACCAACTTTTTGATATCAGAGAAGTATTACAATGGTGCTAAAATTGCCATGATACTAGTATTTTGGAAATAGTACTTAGTTATTTGTAGACTGTTGTGACACTTAAATAAAATTTTACTACTTTTATATATTCTTGATTAAAATTAGTTACATAATTCTTTTATTAGGAAGTGGCTGTTTTTGTCTTTGATAAAAAGCTGATGGACAAATATCAAAAATTCGAGAAGGATCAAATCATCGATTCTCTAAAACGAGGAGTCCAGCAGCTAACGCGCTTACGGCACCCTCGGCTCCTTACTGTCCAGCATCCGTTAGAGGAATCCAGGTAAATTCTCATAAAAACGTGTGTCAGAGACTTCCCGAGCAAATAGTTCAAAATAACTTTATATATGAAATCTGCCTATACGGTATACTGTCAGTGAAAAAATTTTTATAAACTGAGTGTTGAGTTCTTAAGGATTAATTATTTTCCTAAAATTTATTTGCATATTCTATGTATGTGTCTATTTTTGAAATATTAATGGAAGCTTTCTGCACATTTGCCGTGAGTCTGTTCTTATTCTACGCTCGGCACTCCAGTAGTCAAAGTGGAAGATGCAAGAGGAGCGTAGAATAAATACAGTCCCCATCTGAAAGTAGAGGTCCTTGTTCATTTGCTGGAATTTCTTGTCCTCTCTCCATTGATTCACCATTTGGGGCTATTTTTATGTGTGTTCCAGGTACTGTTATAGACATTTAACCTTCTACTATGCCTAGTGTGTTAGTCCATAGCCCTCAGTTACTCTGCCATCTATTTTTCTCAAGGATGAGCTTGGGAACTGTTGCTGAGAATGACAAGGAAATGACAAGGAAATGAAATTTATGTTGTGTCACCTTAATTGGATTCTCAAGCCTTTAGTGCTTTTAATATTCCATTGATACCCTAGCTGTATAAACTCATAACCCCTAATATATTCCTTTTTCCTTCCTACTTAGCAGACTGTATTCCCTCTCTTAATTCAGAAGGTCTTAACTAAATGGTTTGCCCAATGTGTTTGTGGACCCTAGGACTTTAAGGATGGAGTGGAACAGGCAGGTGGGGAAACAGAGCTGGCAGGTTCCAGCCCTCCCATCTCTCTTCAAACAGGCATTGTTGCTTGTATTTATTTTATATATGGGATTTCTGCATAATTCACTGACCCACTGTCACTCCCCCACCCAAGGCACAAGATCCTTTCTTTCTATCTAAAAGAAAAACAAACTGAATATTTATCCTGTGAAAAAGTGTATTGAGTGCTTAACACTTGTTTATGCTCACAATTATGTAGAACTGAGGAACCAGAGGCATTACTTAAGCCACATAGTTATGACACCTGATTCTGAACCCGTGGTTTTTCCTCCACTGTACCCTGCTGTGCCTACTCAGAAGTATGCTCATGTGTCTCTTACAGTGGTATTTTTATTGCCCTTCTTTTTATGAATGAACCCAGAAGACTATAGTTGTCTCTTATGTAGCACTCACTACTGTGATCCTACTATCCCAAAGTGCGCTAAGGTTTGTTTGCCACACTTGTCCTGTGCTTACCTGACTCTGTTTGCTTGTGCTGCCTCCTTGGAGTGTTTGCTGTCAGGGTCTGTCTATAGTGTCCCCTATCAGAATGCTATGTCTTTGCTGTTTAACTTGTATCAACAATCTCTCTTATTTCACCATTCTATTTCAAGTCTCCTGAAGGGAGGAGGGCCAATGTTTGATGTTTTCTCTGTCTTTGTAGCTTCTAGTGTAGTGGTTTAAATATTGTAGACTAGGGATTTATTGGCAATTATGAAGGAAGGTAATTCAGAGATTACTTTAACACACCTTTACTGTTAAGTTGTAAAAACTGCAAAGCACTGATAGAAATAGGAACACTTAGGGAAGGAAAAAATAACTTCCAGTTTTTAATGAATCAGTATGTGGCGATGACACTGGAATTATCCAAAAGAAATGTGCTGTGGGAAAGTAAATCCAGATCAAAGCCCAGCGTTGGTTGTGTGTGGGGGGGCTGGGTAACGTGGAGGGAGTGGAAAGTGGGTAATAGGTGAGTAGTGGGTTAAGGGGGCCATGGAATGAGGAGTTAAATTAAAAGGGCTGTGAAGGAGTCGTCTTGATTCTTGGAAAATAAAAAGAGCAAGGTTAAAGTATACTACTGAGTGACTTTACACTGTGATTTTATAGAGACTTGGTTTTCTATTTTTTTCCCTTAGCTTATTACATAAGCAAGAAAGTAAAAGAAATTTTACTTGATGATTGCTTGCTATAAGGTTAATAAGGGTTTGCTCAGTAAAAGGTAGTAAGGGTGATAGTTATTGTAGAGGTTGTTGGGGGAAAGTTTTAAAAAAAATGTGTCACAACTGTTATAGCACTTAGTATAATTCATATGCAGAGCTTCCTGACTTTGTTTTATTGGTTTGAGTTGTTATGTTAATGATGAAAATAAATCTAAAATAGTTTACGTTCTTGTTGATTAATAGGACCACTAATATTTTATGTATATTTGATTTTGATAATGTGGAAAAAATGATAGTGAATAACCCTTTTTCTTTTTTAAAACAGGGATTGCTTGGCATTTTGTACAGAACCAGTTTTTGCCAGTTTAGCCAATGTTCTAGGTAACTGGGAAAATCTGCCTTCGACTTTGTCTCCAGACATTAAGGATTATAAACTTTATGATGTAGAAACCAAGTATGGTTTGCTTCAGGTATGCATTTTTACTCATCATGTGGAAATAATTTTTTTCTTCAAAGTTGTTTTCGGCTATTTCAAACTTATTAGCCTATAAAGTACTTTATATGAACTTCTGCATTTTTTCAGTAATTTAAAAATTATTTGTCCTAGAATTTTCTGTAGTTTATTTCTAAGCTTAAATTGTATTTTGTGTGAAACATAACATTAGTAACCTTTGGATAAGGGCACTTACTAACTGGTGAATGGGGTGATTCCCTTTTGATTTTTTTGAGTTTTAAACCTTGTGAATTCATTTCATAAATATTAAGTTGAAATAATAAAGTACTTATAACAATATATCCTTAAAGAAATTATTTAATGGGTATCAGGAGATTCAGGTATGTCCACATTTTCTGATTTTTCTTTCCCTGCTTAGCAAAATATCTTCAGTTCTGTAGAGTAAATTTATGCAGTAGATTCTTAGTTCCTTGGGGACAGAGTTCATTCTATTTATTATTTTTAACAGTTTTATTAAGGTATAATTAATTGGCATACAAAAAACTTCACATATTTGAAATACACGGTTTTGTAAGTTTATAGCCATCACTACAATCACAATAATGCATATAGCCCCCCACCAAAAGTTTCCTCATACCCGTTATAATCCCTCTCCCCTGCTCTTTCTTATTTTCTATCTCTCGCCCTAATTTGTATTTTCTAGAATTTTGTAAATGGCTTTATACAATACGTACTTTCTTTTTTGGCCTGGCTTCTTTCAATCAACCTAATTGTTTTAAGATCCATCTGTATTGCTGTATGTATCAACACTTTTTAATTGCTGAGTAGTAGTCCATTGTATGGATATACATATCATAGTTTGTTTACGCATTCACCTGTTGATGGTCATTTGGGTTGTTCCCAGCAGCAAATAAAGCTGCTGTGCACATTCATGTGCAAGTTTTTATATGGACATATGCTTGTATGTCTTTTGGTTGAATACCTAGAATTAGAGTGGCTAGTTCAAGTGGTGCATATATATATACATATATATATGTATATATTTCATTTTTTAAGAAACTGACAAACTGTTTTCCAAAGTAGTAGTGCTATTTTATATGCCTACTGCAGTGTATGAGAGTTCATTTTTTTCATATCTTTGCCAAAATGTGGTATGGTTGGTTCTTTTAATTTTAGCCATTCTAGTAGGTGTGCAGTGGTATCTCATTGGAGTTTTAATTTGCATTTCCCTGATGACTAATGATGTTGAACACCTTTCCATGTGCTTCTTTGGCATCTCAATATCTTTTTTGGTGAAGGCCTGTTGAGATCTTTTGCCCATTTTTTGAATGAGTTGTTTTCTGGAATTGAGTTCTGAGATTTCTTTATATGTTGTGGTCACAAGTCCTATGTTAGATGCAGATGTTTTCTCCAGTCTGTGGCTTATCTTATTCTCTTAACAGTATATATTTTTAAATTGTGGTAAAATGCACATAACATAAATTCTAGTATCTTAATCATTTTTAAGATTGCAGTTAAGTGACATGAAGTACATTCACATTGTTGGCAACCATTACCACCATCCATCTCCAGAACCCTTTCACCTTGCAAAACTGAAGCTGTATTGGCGGAATAATAATTCCTGCACTCCCCTCTCCTCCCCCAAGTTCCTGGTAACTACCATTCTGTCTCTATGAACCTGACTTCTTTAGGTACCTCATTTAAGTGGACTCATGTAGTAGTTTTCCTTTTGTGACTGGTTTATTTCACGTAGCATAATGTCCTCAAGGTTCATCATGTAGTGTTCATTCATTTTTTGAGGAACCAGCATACTGTTTTCCATAGAAGCTGCACCATTTTATAGTTTTATCTGTAATTCACAGAGTCCTAATTTCTCTACATTCTCACCACCATTTGTTATTTTCTGTCTTTAGGCCAGTACCACACTGTATAGCTTCGTAGTGAGTATCTGAACTTTTCCCCCCAACCATAAAGTACTTCCAAAGATAACTGAAATAATTATGTAAAAGTACTTATCAAATTAGTGCCTGAAATATACAATAAGCATGCAATAAGTTTTTTTTCTCCTTATAAAGTTAGGAAAACTTTTCTAGGATTGAAAAACTTTACATGATTTATAAATTATATTTGAGGAATACGTATTTTTTTAAAGTTAAATCTTACATGAAATTCATGGTTTCAGATGTGTTATAGAACTGAGAACATTCAGTTCTATAACATTATTAAGCTCTTACCTGCTTATTGTACTAGTCACTGAGGATAAATATTCAGGCAGTTAGAAGTAGCAGGTTATATCAGAAAGTGGTGAAAAATGAAACTGAAAAGATAGAAAAAGGTCTTGTTGGTGATGGGGAACACTAAAGGATTTTAAGCAGGCAAATTGCTTGGTCTAATGTACATTTTAGAGATACCATTCAAGAGGAATGGAATTTGGGGGTAGGGAAGACATGGGAAATAATTCCTGCTACACAGGGTTATTTTTCAGAATCAAATGTATAAATGTCTAAGTGCTTAGCATAGTGCTTGCATGCAAAAAAGTGGTAAATGATAGTTTAAAAAAAAGTCTTGGTCAAAAATCATAGGAAGGACTAGAGGTACAGAGTGAAGTCACAACGGCGGAGGTAGGATAAGCCCTGATGACTATGGGCATGAGAATTGGGAGTGTTGTGGAGTCTAATATGATTTCCCACATTTATTAAGAAGTTGATATACCATCATTTTAAATAATTTACCAGCTGGGACCTACATAGGTTCAGTGACTTGATCAAAGTTGCAAGACTAGTAAGTGATGAAGTGGGGACAGGAATCCAGATAATTTTAAATTATACTTTTTACACTCTTTACTGTTGACTTGCCTTCATGTTGAAAACTATAAGGGAGTTTTTAGAGACTTCATTCTCATATTTGTTCATTAAGCAAATGTTTACTAGTCACCTTTATATAAGTCTGGCACAGTTTTGGGTGCTGAAGGTATGGCAGTGAACAAAGCAGATACAGATTCCTGCCTTTGGAACTTCCATACTCTTGGGGGAAGAAAGACAATAATATATAGTACATTAGATTACAATGATAAGTGCTTGTGGAGAAAAGAAGAGCTAATGGAGAAGAAGGAGTAGTTTGGATGGGGAGGAAAGGGGAGTTGCACTTTTGATTGGGGTACTCAGGAAATCTGTTACTGAAAAAGGGGACATTTGAGTAAAGACCTGAAAAAAGCAAAGAAGCAATACCAGGGGAAAGTGATCTAGAAAGAACAAATGGCAAGTGCAAAGTCCCTGAGACAGGATCTGCATGACATGTTCAAGGAGCAGTGAAATACCTGGAGTGGTGAGGAGTTGAAAATAAGAAGACGAGTAGTAGGAGATAAGGCCAGGGAGTTAATGCCCAGTTAGGTCCTATTAGGCCCTGAAAGCCAGAGAAATACTTTGGATTTTACTGAGAGAAAGGAAAGTCTTTGGAAAGTGACATGGTCTGGGTTATGTTTTAACAGATTACTCTAGCAGCTGTATTGAGAATTAAACTATGTAGTAGAGCAGCAGTTTTCAGCCCTTTTCCTCTCATGTCACATGTAAACTAATTACTAAAATCCTGCAGTGAAAAACACACAACAGATATAATTTTGATTCATTCACAGCGGGTGGCTATTGTGTTAGGTGTCATTTTTTTATTTGACTATCTAAGGAAAAGGAGGTCAGTGCCCCTGACTAAAATAGTCAGGTATTGCATGTTTTAAAAATTCTTGCGGCACACGGTTGAAAATCACTACAGTAGAGTAACAGCAAAAGCAAAGAGATAAGATAGGTTGGCTGCTACAGTAATAGAGGCCAGAGATGATGATGTTCCAGGGTAGGGGAGATGGCAAGAGACAATCAAATTCTAAGTTTATTTTGATAAAATTATTGGGATTTGCAGATCGATTTGCCATATAAGAAAAAGTGTAGTGTAAGATAACTCAAAGGTTTTTATCTTGAGCAACTGGAAAAATGAAGGGGCCATTAACTGATATGGGAAAGACTGCAGGAGGAGAGAATTGAATTGTAGGGAAGCTCAGTTTTGGATTGTTTTAAGATTGAGATGCTTAAGCATTTAAGGGGAGAGAAGTCAAGAAGGTAGTCCAATAATGAAGTCTGGACTTTAGAGTAATTTGAGAGCACTTGAGAGTAAGCACCGTCTAGATGGTATTTACAGCTGTGAAAACACAGAACAAGAGTAGATGGAAAATGGAGATGTTGAAACATTGAGTCCAGGAGGTTGGGGTGATGAGGAGGAACCAGTAAAATAAACTGAAAAGCATCACCAATGGAGTTAGAAGTCAGAGAGCATTAGTTTGCCAAAATTTTGGTTTTGGAAACAAAATTCAGTCTTCAATTTTTGGTTAACAAATTCCATGGTAATCATAGGCACAAATATAAAAATTAACAAATACTAATCCAATGTGAGAATGAAAGAACATTAGTTAATATTTGAAAACAGCACAGTGCTCTTCAGAAAAACTGAATTTCAAAATGAAGTGTAAGTATATGAAAATACTAAGAATTAGAATTAAATTGACAAAGGTACCTCTTTATATTTACTATCTGTAACTCAGGAACCAGATGTTCCCTCAGTTTTCAAAATCAGGAACTGAGTAAATTTGGATAGCAAAGTGCTTTTATATTATCTTTTCTTTTGCTTATGTGCATATAGGAAAGTACTTAATGGCCCTGGCCGGGTAGCTCAGTTCGTTAGAGCTTCATCTAGATATGCCAAGGTTGTAGGTCTAATCTGGTCAGGGCACATACAAGCATCAACCAATGGATACATAAATAAGTGAAACAACAAATCTATGTTTCTCTCTCTCTCTGTCTCTCTCTCTCTCAATAAATAGTTGTAGTCTGGTTTTATAATTGTGTTTTCCTCATTGTTTCATTTATCCTGGCAACTGAGAATGTCTACACTTTTGCGTTTATAATGAAATTTAATTGTTACCTAACATGTAATAAATCTTTTATTGGGGAAGCAGCAGTTATGATTTTTGAGACTTTTTATTGTAATCGAAAGGAGTTTTATTTAATGTAAAAATGTCTGGTTATTTTCCATTTATAGGTTTCTGAAGGATTGTCATTTTTGCATAGCAGTGTGAAAATGGTTCATGGAAATATTACACCTGAAAATATAATTTTGAATAAAAGTGGAGCCTGGAAAATAATGGGTTTTGATTTTTGTGTATCATCGACCAATCCTTCTGAACAAGAGGTAATGAAGGTGTTAGTCTTCTAATTTTTTAAGCTATGGAAATTTGTGATTCCATCTGGAATGGACTATAGAATTTATAAGCCTGATAAATGTTTAGAAATAGGCTGCATGCTACAATGGTATGTTTAACTGTATAGAAAATTTCTAGAGTTCATTGTACTTAAGAGTATTTTTCAGCTTATTAATTCCACAATAGTTAACATTATTTGAGAAAAAGATGCTGGAGTTAAATAAATTTGAGAACTATTGGGTTAAGGTTTTTTCCTCCTCAGAATGTCTAATACGCTAACATTGTGAACCTCTAGCAATATTACCCCAACTTATTGGACCACAGAATCTTTTTTAGGGAGCACAGTAACAACAAAAGCAACGATAACATTTACTGAAGCACTTTTCTAAACACTTTATATATTTACATATTTAATCCTCACAAAACTCAGTAAGGTATAGGAAAAATACGTACGAGGAGGTTAGGTTTGTAGAATAAAATAAGTGGTAGAGCTAGGATGTATCCAGCCTTTCTGATTCCAAAGCACCTGTTACTTAGTAATTATGATACCTGCTTATTTATACTTGGAAAATACTGCAATATTTCAAGTTTTTACTATATGTAGTTGTTAAAGGAACCTTGATTTGTCCTAAGACAGATTTGTAATTTAAATAAACATTTTTAAGGGAAGCAGAAAGAATTCCTATATATTATGTACTGTGAGTGAAGCACTGTGCTAAGCCTGTTTTCCATACATTTCTTTAATCTTACAACAACCTTTTGAATCTATTAAACTAAATTGCATAGCTAGTTAGGGGAAGAACAAGGTTGCAAACAGTAATCTATTTAAGCCCATAAAACTTGAAGCCTGTGTATCATAAAATGTAGGCCAGACTTTTCTATATTCCTACTATAACTTTTAGTGATAATTGTCTTCTGGAAGAGAGCTCCAGTAATCTCAAAGTTATATTACCTTTTCATTTATTCCATGCACTTTCTAGATTTGGGAATTTTAGGATTTCAGGTGGGGATGTCAGTTTTACTTGCATGACTAAGTATGAATTTAAAGCTAGGTTGTTGTTGCTTGATAGAGGTTTGCTTTAATTTGAAATATGTAAGCTATGAAATCTCTTTCCTGTCTTATTATAGCTCAAGTTTCCTTGTAAAGAATGGGACCCAAATTTACCATCATTGTGTCTTCCAAATCCTGAATATTTGGCTCCTGAATACATACTTTCTGTGAGCTGCGAAACAGCCAGTGATATGTACTCTTTAGGAACTGTTATTTATGCTGTATTTAACAAAGGGAAGCCTGTGTTTGAAATTAACAAGCAAGATATTTACAAGAGTTTCAGTAGGCAGTTGGATCAGGTATTTGCCTTTAAATATTTGCTTACATTAAAAATGTATTAAGTGCTTCTCTGATTATTTTTTTTCTAAAATGTATTCTCTGAGATGAGGGTCTTATAGTTTGCATAAAATCAACGTAAAGTAATTCTGTAATTAATGAGGAGCAAAGTTTGTTATTATAGCTGTAATCATGACATGCATTTACTAGACTGAATTTTAAATACGGTCTAAAATACTGGGAATTTTTTTAGGAATAGAAACAATTTCAGGTAATAAAGATAAGTGTTTTAATTATCTTGCAGTAGTAGAATTAGCAATTTGTTTGAATCTAAAAATATATTTTTGAGTAAATTTTAAGTTTCTTAAATGGACTTGCCAATATAAATGAATATCTGAATATTTTATATTCATATTTAATATTATCACTCTTTTGAATAGTTGAGTCGTTTAGGATCTAGTTCACTTACAAATATACCAGAGGAAGTCCGTGAACATGTAAAACTACTGTTAAATGTAACTCCAACTGTAAGACCAGATGCAGATCAAATGACAAAGGTGAGTACACATGAATTCCTGCTTTAGGAGGAGGGACAAAAAATATCGTAGATTAACTGCTTCTAAAACAAGATTTAGTCAGATATAGTCCCCAGATAATATCTGTATTCTTGAATGTATTAAATATTCAGCTTCTTTTACTGTTAAACACTTAAATAATTTATCTTTATAAGTGCTCTGATATAAAATTAGAATTTCAAATAAACAAGAACTCTGTCATAGTTATGCAGAAGTTTTGGACACCCCAAGAATTTATAGCCCTCTTATCCACTCATCTAAGCATGGATTTTAACAGATAAATGATATTCTTTATACCTTCAAGATATTTTACGTACTCTTGCAATATTTTACTAGTTAAGTGAAGAAAATGTTACTCCAGCCATCTCAAAGGTACTGATTCTGAAAATTTGAACTTGGAAAGGAAAATAATTTGTTACTTTCTTATTCTGATTTTTTAATTAGCATTTTTATGAAGTGATCTTTAGTATTTTGCTAAGTGTTCTGAATATTTTTTCACCAGACTGTGTTAGTTTCAGATATGAGAAGTACTTTAATACTTAACAAAATAATGTTATTTTCCTGTGTTTAGATTCCCTTCTTTGATGATGTTGGTGCAGTGACACTGCAGTATTTCGATACCTTATTCCAAAGAGATAATCTTCAGAAATCACAGTTTTTCAAAGGACTGCCTAAGGTTCTACCGAAACTGCCCAAGGTCAGTTTCTTATTATAGTCAAGACTTTAGAATTTCAAGTTTACTTTCATTTGCTATAATAACTCTTCCAAAGAAATAAATGTAACTAGGACTATAAAAGACTGCTGACTGAAGCCAAAGTTTAGTGAAAGCCCATAATCTGTCATTGTGGAGATCATTGTCTCTCCAGCAATTAAGGGGATACTTTTGTGATGCTAGCCTCTCCAGTTCCTTTAACTCTCCCTCTCTGACTTATTAAATCATGAGTGTAACATAGTATAAATACTGTGAATGCTAAAGAAACCACTGGTTGGAACACTAATAATTCCGGGCTACAAAATTATCTCGTGTGTAACCTGTCAGATATTTTTTGACTATGTACTGCTTGTCTAGCCCTTTACTTAGATGCTATGGAGAGTACAGAGGAAACAAAAATTGTTCTTGCTCTCAGACCCTCCCAGTAATTGTAAGTAGGGCTAACACTGCATGCAGCAGCAAGTAAAGTATAGGGCAGTGTTTAAACTGTGTGGCATGAATCCTAAGAGATGAGGGAGTTAAGAGGAAAAAGTCATGAAGACTAATTAGGGAAGGTTTCCTAAAGGAAGGGTGATATATCCCCCTTTCTCTGTGACATTACCAAGTTATGCCTTTTGCCCTGGCATAATTGGTAATAGCACCCTGTTTTACTCTTAAAAGTGTCCCGGTTTCAACCACAAAATTATATGGTCACCTTACGCAAAGGGATTGGCTATTTTAAACTATAATTTCAATGTTAATACTAAAGACCTGAAATAAAATTTAGTTTTATGAAAACATTTTTTCCTTTCAGCGTGTCATTGTGCAGAGAATTTTGCCTTGTTTGACTTCAGAATTTGTAAACCCTGACATGGTACCTTTTGTTTTGCCCAATGTTCTACTTATTGCTGAAGAATGCACCAAAGAAGAATATGTCAGGTTAATTCTGCCTGACCTTGGCCCTGTCTTTAAACAGCAGGAGCCAATACAGGTATGTATGGAGATAATTTTCCTACTTATCTGCTGTTACTCAGTGAGTGACCTTAGTCAACTACAGCTGTCATAGAAAACAAAAGGAATGCATATGCAACTTTTAAAAAATTGAGGTAAGCATAAGAGGCTTTTCTTTTCCATTAGCTATTTTGCACATTTGAAGCGAACCATTCCTAAATTATAACTGAAGTCTCCAAGCGAGTTGTCCATAAGTTACCATCTCAGAAAATGAATTGTAGTGAGATTTCGCATGTGTTGCACTGTTCCCACTGGCCTTATGGAGAGTTAGAGGTTTGGGAACAGAAGGTACATAGTTTTCTCTCACACTTGTGTTTTGTTTGTGTTTGTTTTGTTATTCGGGGTCTTTCATTTATAGACTTTATGCTAGTATTATCTCTCTATTTTGTTGTTAATGGTTTCATCAGAAAGGGGAAAGTGCTTACAGCACCCAGAAGTCATATATGTGTGTATCATAAGTGAAAGCATAATTAGTCTCTGATGTAGACTTTTACAGTCCTTATTTGCCAGATTCAACATAGCCTTGGATTTAAGAGCAGTAGGGTCATACAGCTGGGCAGGAATCTGTCCTTTATCTCCTTATCTGCACAAGTCATTACTCTCTTAAAGCTTCCAGTTTGCTCATTTCCAAAATGAAAGAAGTTGTTGAGAGTAAATGAAATTTCCGGGCACATAGTAAATATTATTACTTGCTTCTGCCGCTACATGGCAGTAACTCACTGGTAAACTGTCAGTTACCTGATTTAATTGTTTTGTGGCAGGCAGTTTGCAGTCCTTCCCTCGAAAGGAGGGGAACAGAGGAAGTCTGTGGTGGGAAGGCAGGAGCTCCTGTGGCTAAGGAAAGGGCAGGTGAGGGAACTGTGGGCTTTGAAGCAGAATCCTACGAACACTGTTAAGACGCCAGGAAGGGAAGTAGTGGAGCCACATGCTGACTAAGCTATGTGTCAGTCAAGATAGTTCCCAAGGAACCTACCATCTGAATTCTTATCTGCCGCCATTCTTTGGTACTCTTTTTCCCCCATAGTAGTCCAGCTAACATTTCCTTCTGAAAATTTAAAAAAATTTTAACCGAGCCTTGGCACAACTATTCTTCACAAACAGAAGGAGCAGTTTAGGTATGAGGCTAGGCCAAAAAACGAATTGAAATGTGTCTTTCTAGAATTTTCCTGACAGTCCTTTTTATTCCTGTACCTTTTCTTCTCTTGAGCTCCACAGAAGCCAAATAGTAGAATTGACTCTTTTGGGCCATGTGATTTTGCTGCCCTCAGGCTTTTATTTTTTTACCCAGTTGCTTTCCAGATAGTTGGTACTTGTGGGTGAGTGATATGTTACTGAAGATATGTGAGAGTTAGGAAATTAGTCTGTATTTAAATGTCTAAACAGAGAGCAGATGTTAAATATTGTGCTTCCAGAAATGTAAGAGACTTGATTTGTATGTTTTTGTCTTCCATGCCCTCAGGCTAGCAACATGGTGAGTGTCAAAATACATAACATTCTTTAGGAGACACTTTAAATTTTGGCATATATAAAATCACATAAAGATCCTGGGCCTCAATGCATTGTTCCCTTTTTCTACACAGATTTTGTTAATTTTCTTACAAAAAATGGATTTGCTACTAACCAGAACTCCTCCTGATGAGATAAAGAGCAGCGTCCTGCCAATGGTTTACAGAGCACTTGAGGCACCTTCCATTCAGATCCAGGTATAATACTTGATTTTTCCCCCTTCAGTGACGATTCTGATTTTAAAGCAAAAGAAAGAAGTAAAGGACATTTTGGATTTGAGACATAAAATCTTTTTATATAAAACTCAGTAGTATATATTAATCCATTGGATTGCATCATGCACTGTTACTAAAATGTAGCCACTCTTAACTAATTTATTTATTTTTCTGTGAGCATTGCCTTTTAATAGCATAAGGATTGTTACATGGAAGAATTAGCTGGCACTGCACCTCAAAAGTAGACCCAAGACCAATTAATGGCTTCTTCAGAGGGGTACATATATATGTCAGTTCAGTGTGAGGAAGTGTTTATGACTCACAGCTGTTCCTTCTGGATCAGCTGCCCAGTCCTCAGGTTCTGTGATTTGTGATACCACCAGTGGAGCTTGGTGATGCCTTTAACTGTGATCCTTCTAAAGTTGTTATCCACGTAATCCAGTTTCGTAGTGCCATGTTCCAGAAACAGTTCAGCAAACAAAAGTTCCCATGAGTTCTTCATTAACATGCTCACATACTTGATAGCATTATTAATTACATCTTAAAATCCCCGCTTTCTTTCCTGCACACATCACCCAATCCCTCAGCTACTTCTGCTCTTCTTAATTCTCTCTGAAAATGTCCTCAGCCCCAGTTGTTTCTCTTCCCCTTTTTCTCATTTCTTTATCACCAAAGCCCTAATAGCAGTTTGGTATGGAGGGCCCTATGGCAACCTTGAGAATGTGACCATTTTGGATGACAGGCCATCTTTCTTTGGGCAGAGGTAAGAGGTTCCACTTTCTCCCTCACGCTCCTCATCTAATCCAATCATCTAATACAAATGCGATGCTTGAGGCTAGAGATGGCACAGGAGCCAATCAGAGGAGGCCTCTCAAATGCCAGAGCTAGAGCCTGGATTGAATGGACAATTGGGAACCAATCAGATTAGCTTCTTTTCTACTTTCTAAACCTTTCTAGAACCTGTCCCTGGCTCTCTTCCACACTATCATAGCCCTAGTTTAGGACACCTTCGAATCTTATAAGAATTTCTTCAATCCGGTCTCAGAGTTCTGTCCCTTTATATTATAGCCAAGCACAGATGGTTCTGAAATTTTCCTAGAAGTCATATCTGAGCACTCCTCTGCTTCGAGTCTTTATGGTCTTCTAGTTCTCAATTCAATCTAAGCCCCTACTCCTAGCATTTGAGGCCCTCCCTGGTTGGCTCCATGACCTCTCTGGCTTCATCCATTTTTCCAAACACCTTAACTACAGGCAGCTCCCCACCATGCTCCCCTTTGAGCCTTTGTTCAGGCTATGCTCTCTGCTGGGGATGCCTTTCCCTCTTCTTGACTACCTGACAGATACCCACATATCTTTTAGTACTTGACTTAAGCATCACCTCTAGGGAACCTCCT